GGTTTCACTTCCGGAAGGAAGGTATCCAGGGTGCCGACGTTTCCAATGGAGTTATAGCCGCGGGGCGAATGTTGGCGCGGGATTCGACCAGAGTTATGGACGGAGGAGCGACCGCCGATTTCCACAACCAATGGGGAGCAACATATTGGATAAAATAACACAAGAGTAGCAGATGCTCGTATAGTGTATGCTCACTGCGGGAGGCAATGAAGACTGGAGAGGTGGGGGCTTCGGAGACACCGCACGCCTCAAAGGAATGAAAATAAAACGAAGGTCGAATCGAATCTTAGTCGCGGCGTGGAAAAAGCTTGGAGGAGTCCTCAGGATGAACCCGCTGTGCTTTTACTACAAGCACACCAGGCAGCCTCGTGGCACGGTTGGAAGAAGGCTGTTCGAGGAGTCCCACATCGGGGGGAAGCACGAGAAAGAGGAGGTCGAAGGAGTATAAGAAACGGGCTCGGATTAAGTTGCAACATACTTACCTGGACGGGGTCGATGGGCGATCATGAAGGCCCATGGCCTAGGTTAGCGACCTCCATTGCACTCTGGAGGGGCGCTCGCCTAAGGTCAACCCATAGTGGTTGAGCCTACGTCATAATTTGTGGCAGCGGGGGCCTGCGTTCGCGCGGCCCCTACCATTACAAGTTGAAGTTTTCTTTCATCAGTCTAATTGAGATTTTTAGCCATTATGATTTTGGCTCGTTAGGGAGGGAAAGGGCATGGTCGACGAAGGGTAGAGTCGGTCGGTTCCATATGACAGGCCAGCGGGATCGGGACTCAGGCTTTTCTCTAATTTTCTCGACCATGCTCGTGCGTGCTGACGCGTACGAATCGGATGGTTCGTATTTACCGAATTTCCCCATGGACTTGCTCTAGCCAACAGTTTAGTTTGGTCTTTTTTTTCTAAGAAGCTTGGATAGCGTGTGAAGTCTTGCATGTGCAGCGTTATATCGCATGAGGTGTCTACGCATCCAAATTGGTGTTTGTCGTTTCGTGATATGATAAAATTGTAATCGGATTATTAGTACTTGATTAAATTTTAACCCAAATTAAAGGGAAAAAAGTTATCTTGCATGAGAGATATGCCTTGCGCCGCCACCTTAGGTTTGCTTGAAAATTAAAAAATGGTCATTTTTCTTATAACGCACGATCACTTTGTGAACAGGGACTGGCATATGCAGTTCATTACTACACATAACACTTTGAAAATATTATTTGGAAACTCGCAAGGCGCCTCGACCTCAAACCTCAGTATATGCCATCTCTGATCTCTATGGATAGTGACATTGGAACAGCAACAGAAGTGAAGAATCGAGGATGCACGACACGAAAGTAAGAACAGGGTCAGAAGAACACATGACACTGCCTTAACTTCGAGTGCCAACCACATTCCTCTAGTTGAACCATTCAGCAATTCAGCTCTTCTTTGTCCCCTTCTCTGTTTTTGCTTATTCAGAAACAGAGATTCTTGTACACGCCTTGTGAATCATCATCATCATCATCTGCTTGGAAAAGACGAAAGAGTGCCGCGGAAGCCACTACAGCTCAAATGCAGAGTTCATCAAGACACGCCATTAGGGTATTATAGGTGGAACCATCGCCCTTTATTTTTTCCCTGTTACAAAACAATCACTCTGTCCCTTGATGTATCGGGTCCGATCTCATTGATTTCAATGTTGATCGAAAAAGGGTCTATGCTTATGCCCATGATGATCGCAATTACTAGCTAAGAGAGTGATTTCTTGGTAGGTTGAACATTAGAGAGAGTAAGGTTAAAATGCAGCAAGATTCAAGTTCAACTGACAGATCATGCACATGATTCCTGGGTTCATTCTTGCTAAACTGACTAATATATATATATTAGGATTGAAGGAATATCATAGCATTGTTCCTCGTGCATTCATCTGATCGATTGGATAAAATTTAAATGATTGTCTTGGAGAGATTGTATTTTATTCATTGGTGATATCACATGCCGTGCGGTGCCAATGCAATATCACCGAACTATCCGTAATTCTCCATTTTGATTGACATGCTTATAAACCGGCATGGTTTGAAATTTCAAATATCAAAAGATCCGAACAAATCGGTGATACTATTCAGCGCGACACATTCATACCACCATTAGAAGATGTTCTTCTCTTTTCTGTGCTCAGTAAAACTACAAAAGTATGCTTTGACAAAGTTTAAGTTTTTTTTTTTCCTTGTTTCGACGTAATTTTCTTGCAAATCTATTCCTTTCTGCTCTCTATACAGTCGGGGACGAAATGTCAACAAGACCCTTTGATGAACTCACTTGAAAAGTTACCTCTTCAATCAGGATTGCAATTCTTTTGGCACAATGATATCAGGTCAACGAGGTTCAACACATGATGGCCACCAATCATCTGCTGGTCTAGACAAGATCTTTGTTTTAATTAATTAGGTCAGACCCGGCCTAACGCCATTAATGAACAAGGTACGCGTGAGTCTTAAGCTTGGTGATTTCATCGGGTTAATTTCTTGCGACACATGCACTCTCAACCTCCAGCAATTTCTTTCCCTTTCTTTTTGTTTTCTCCTTAGACCTGTTCGCGCGCTTATCAGCTTCTTCCAGACTCTCGCGCTCTCTTTTATAATGTCCAACATTTAGTCCTCACTACAGCGTATCATAGTTTATCCGCAAGTTTTCTCGTGTTAGAGACAATGGGCTTATCGAGTCTTTTAGGTGCTTCATGCTTGCTTGGAGCGATGATGATGACAATGCTGGGCGTGGTGGTCGATGGCCAACCTCTGGTGCCTTCGATGTTCGTGTTTGGGGACTCGGTGGTGGACGCCGGCAACAACAACCACCTCTCCACCATCGTGAAGGCAAACTTCCCTCCGTATGGCCGGGACTTCATCAAGCACCAGCCCACCGGGAGGTTCTGTAATGGCAAGCTCGCTGCTGACTTCACTGGTACACACAAAACCGTACTTGTCATACCCCATTTTTTCAAATTCTGTACATTCTCTATTCCTGTTCCTTCTTTTCTTGGCTTTTAGTTCAACTTATTTCTAACATTCATCTGGGTTTTGAGGATTTAGTAATGTGTTTCATGTGTGGCTAATGAATATGTGTGATTGGTGGCAGCCGAAAACATTGGGTTTACTTCTTACCCACCAGCCTATCTCAGCGAAAAGGCCAGAAGAAAGCACCTTCTGATTGGCGCTAATTTCGCTTCTGCTTCTTCTGGTTACTATGACTCCACAGCCAAACTATATGTACTCTCTCTCTCTCTCTCTCTCTCTCTCTCTCTCTCTCTCTCTCTCTCTCTCTCTCTCTCTCTAGATTTTGTAACATTTGATAATACTAAGCTGGTTATTGCATCTCTAGCCTTGATCTGGACTTTGCCAGTCTAATTACTAATTAATAATGTGCAATTGGGAGTTGTGGTGGGTGTAGCACACGATTTCGTTGACCGAGCAGCTGAAGTACTACAAGGAGTACCAGAACAAGATCATAAAGATTGCACCGAAGTACAAAGCAAACGTCACCGCGATAATATCAGATGGACTCTACCTCATCAGTGCCGGAAGCAGCGACTTTGCCCAGAACTATTACATCAACCCTCTTCTCTACAAAGTCTACACGCCTGACCAATTCTCAGACCTTCTCATGCACTCCTACTCCATTTTCATTCAGGTTCTTTCTTTCTTTCTCGAGGGTCTATGTTCATTCTGGTCAATTTAATGTCGCCCTATATAATTATGGTCAGAAGAGAACTGCGATGTATAACACCAAAATGGTGTTTTTCTGCGGCAGGAATTGTATTCGTTAGGGGCAAGAAAGATTGGGGTGACCACGCTACCGCCACTCGGGTGTTTGCCGGCGACGATCACGATATTCGGCAACCACAGCGAGGGCTGCGTCACCAAGCTGAACAGGGACGCAGTCTCCTTCAACAACAAGCTCAATGCCACTTCTCAGACCTTGCAGAGCAAGCTCTCTGGCCTTACTCTGGTGGTCCTAGACATCTACCAGCCTCTCTACAACATCGTCCAAAAGCCCTCCGACAGCGGTATGTGAAAATTCCTATTTCAAATGTTCAGGGCATACACCTTCAGAGTCGGGCAATGGTCACCTTAAGCGAAAATACATAACTCGGTGACCTTGACAGGTTTTGCCGAGGCGAGGAGAGCATGTTGCGGAACAGGCTTGTTAGAAACATCGATTTTGTGCAACCCAAAGTCGGTGGGCACGTGCGCGAATGCATCGGAATATGTGTTCTGGGACGGATTTCATCCAACGGAAGCGACCAACAAGATACTGTCTGATGATCTGCTCACCAACGGCATCTCCCTCATCTTCTAGCTAGGATCATATATACAGAACTCCAACCATTTTAGTTCCACTCAACTGTCTTTAATACCTAGTATACCATGTGTGCGAGAGAGGTAAGAATAAATTATATGTACGAACACCCCTGTTTGTGTTACAGTACCAGTTCATATGAACAAAGGCAATAACTTTTTATAGCACCTGCTCTAATTCCAAACTAGCAATTGAACAGCTCACGATCACAACAGCAACCATACTAATGATCTTGGTAGTTTAGTTTAATGAAGACAAATAAACCTAGAAATCCTCATATTGATGTCTTCTTTTCTTTTCTATTCGTTTTCCGCATCTTCTTTGGCAGCACAATTCTTTTTTGCCCACAAAACTCGCAGCTAGTCCAGTTAGGAAACCCAGGGTTACAATTCAGAATCATGTCACTCTTTAAAACCTCCTAGGACTAACAGGAAGAACAATGGCGGAAATAAAATGTGCCGTAACTGGTCCACAAATCCAAAGCATGAAAACCGGTGAAAACAAGGATATGCACTCTGGGAGACCGTATCCCACAAAAAATAAATTCTTTTCCACGTCACAGCAAAGAATCATACATCCTCCTTGAAGAATGCTAAGTTTGTCTGATGAACAAGTGAGAAAGCTGAACTTGAGTAATCCAGCAATTGGGGCATCAACAATCCAAGACTGGAGAATAAGATAGGCGGGTGATTTACTTCTCATTACTTCATCAAAATTTTTTTCACAGTAACCATCTGCAACTTCAATAGAGCTTCAAGCAAGGGTGACCACTACTTATATCTATATACGTCCCACAAAATTTCCAGTAAGAGCTCAGACGATTTGTGTGAATGCAGAGGGACAGACTAGAACACGAGACAAACCAAACAGGCTAGTCATGTCTATTTGGTCACATCGGATGAAGTTATAGTTTCCACTTGTTGCTTGGGGGCTCCATTGACTTCAAATTCCCCCACGCCATGCTCCATTGCTTCCCTTTCAACCTTCTGCTCCTTTTCATGTGAAACATTGTTACCAGCTGTGGAAAGCTGAATAACTCGAGGACTCCCAGAAATCCACTTATGAACAAGGCATCGGGCAGCTGTAGGCCTCTTTTCAGGCACAAAGTCAAGTATGGGCAGAAGAAAGTCGGCCATGTCATTTGCATCCTGCTCACTGAATTTGTACTTTTCTAGGAGAACCTTGTTAAGAGGCCAGAAACGTAATCTGCGGATATGTCTCAACTCACCGTTTCTGTTGAAGAAATCACGAGAGTATCGACCGCCTATTGCAATCTGAAAGAAATATCACTTTAGTGGCTTGAATAAGCTTAACTTACAGAAGCACGGGATAACCACTGTTGTCACACAAAAAACAAACAAATTATCTATAAAAGTGTAGCTTAATGCACCTATAGCTACCGGATGAATTACCTTACGGGGAATCACGCCGAGAAGTTCCATCATGAGAGCCAAATGGTCCTGCAAAATTAGCCAAAAGAAGTGAAATAACACCTAAATATAAGCATCTCATAATTAACAAAACCGGAAGATCTAATATATTCCAGAAACCTCAAAGGAACTGTGACATATGATCATAGACTGGGTTTTCAATAGAAGAAAACTAGTTAAAAAGGAGAGAAATCCCACAGGAAACAATAGTACTCGAAGCTTCATTGATGAGTGAATACCTCATCACGCTCGTAGTTCTTGCCGCTATGAGGATCAAAGAGGACGTCGCCAGTGGCCAACTCAAAGCAAATGCAAGCAAAGGACCATAAATCTGCAGAAGTTGAATATCGACAACCCAAGATAACCTCTGGACACCTGTACTGTCTTGTCTGAATGTCATTTGTAAATTGTTTATGAGTCCAACAAGCATTTCCAAAATCAACCAATTTACATTTGAGATCAACTTCTGCCAGGAGCTTCTGCCTTGTCGCTCGACTCCTACTTCTATGATGTGTATTTCCTTTGCAGGCATCCTTATTGTCATCACTCTTAGCTGAATCATCCTTGTTCAAAGAATCATGAGATTGCACATCGACGGAATCTTCAGATTCTTTCTCATCATTGTTACTACTTGCTGGTTCAAAAGCTTTAGAATCTCCCTCCTCACAAACTTCCTCTGCCACACAGCCTTGAGCAGCCTTCTTGGCCTTCCTTCGGATCTTCTTCTTTTGCTTCTTAGTTAAACTCCCATTCCCGCTCTTAGTCTCCTTGGAAATAGCAGATACTCGTGCTGCCTCATCCTTGCTTGTGAGAATAAGTGGAGCACCTGATTTTGTGGGATCTTTAGATGGATCGATCATTGACAAAAGTAAGATGTTCTCCGGTTTCAGATCAGTGTGTATGATAGAAAGCTGTCGATGTAAATAATCCAGACCCACTAAAATATGGAAACAGAGTTCTTTAACCATGTTGAGAGGAACCCCTCTATAATCACTATACTTGATAAGGGTCAAGAGATTATCCCCCAGGTACTCGAAAACCATACAAACATGCTGTCCATTTGGCCCAGAGTGCTTAAAGTGATCCAAAAGCTTCACCACACACTTTTTGTCACCGGGATCTCCCTCTGCTATCTGCTTGAGAATCTTTATCTCATCCATTGCAGCCTCTGTGTAATGCTGAGCACTCTTTTGGACTTTTAAAGCTACATAACGCTACAAATAATGAATTTCTCCAGTTGTTAACGACTAGAACAGAGAGAATTTTTGGCGACTTCCCCAATCAGTTGATGCAATTAAGTCAAAAGTTCTCAACATAAAAAAAAAACATGAAAAATCTCAAGAGTAACTGAGACTTACACCAGAGACGACAATATCTAGGAATTTCCAATAGAGGAATCGGCAATTTTATTACTAAGACCTAAGGAGCAAAGCCGTCTACTCAGGGAAGCCTCAGACAGTAGCAAAACAACTACCCATGAAGACTCTATACACATTCCTTTCTGCAACTAACATACCTGAGTGAACTGATTACTGGCTCAATTAAACCAAATTTTCAGTACTTCGAGCAAAGAACATCACACTTTAACACATTCATGCTTCTACATCACTTAATATGTCACTAATCTCTATAATCAATGCTTCTGCTCAAACAAACAACAGCAACTTACGAACCAGACAACACACATTACAAAATGTCTATCCTCAGTCATTTTCCTTCGCGGCCAAATCTTAAAAAACAAATCTTTACTCTCGAAAACTTCATTCTCAATCCCATTTCCCTCATCGCCGTACTCTTGCCAATCAAACAGCAAACTCCCCAAGGGAGGACGAACGCACGTACCGATATCTGAGTGTCCCAAGCGAGCCACACGGTGGAGAAGTGGCCCCACCCGAGCTTGCTCTGCACCACGTAGCACCCGTTCTTGAAGGCGTCGCCCACCCGCACCGCGTGGTACCCTCCCTTCCTGTAGTCCTCCGTCCCCTCGTCCTCGGACGAGTAATCGCTCGCCGCGCTCCTCACGTCGTCCCCGCGGCCGTCGCCGCCGCCCCTGTCCTCCGCCATTGACGAGAGGGACCTCCCAATCGGCGACCGGCTTCGAATTGGCTCGATTGATCCGGCGATGAATGGTGGACTGGTGGCAGTGAGAGGGAGGGAGGAGAATTTGGGGGTTAGGGTTTCTGGGAGCTGTTTGCCTTGCCGGCAGCTTAAAGAAATGGAGAAATTATGGGGACACCGACAGGGGAGGAGGGACAGGACAGCTTCTTTCTTGACGTGCGTGTGCGCGGGCGTGGGGTACCGCCATCGTTTCGCAAAATAGGGGGCGGCGACGGCGCGTGGGCGTGACGCGCCGGCAAAGGCCCACATCCGGCCCACGTTCCGAGCCCATCCGGCGACCCGACTTGACCGGGCGGCGCCGGATCACCCCAATATCCGCCCGGAATAGCCTCGGCCCCTACCCGACCCGAGTTAGCGGGCTTGAGCTTGGAAAAGCGTGTGCGGGGCTAGGCCCGGTGGGCCGAACAAAATGGGCCATTTGTTTTGCCCTTTTTGCTTTCGGCCAATTCAGGGGCCCATTTGTTTACGTGAATGTCCCGTGGTACAAGATTATCTAGAAATAGAACTCGGTCTTTAACCCTTTCGTCTGCCAAAAGTGACAAATTCCTTTTTCCCTTTGCTAAAATGATATAATCCCAAATGACGCATATCGTAAGGAGAAAAATTCACACCTCAGTTCGTAGAATCTGGCTCAACAGCGAGAGCCATCAGCTCAATTTGTGATAGCACAAGAGAATCGCGTGATCTGAGCAAATGGGTAAGCGCCGTTGCTGCAGATATTAATCACGCGCACCGGAAAGTCCGACTAGTAGAATCGCGATGGCCCACAAGTCCGATGCAGCGAGCAGGTAACACGAGTTCAAAAATTTCGCGAAATTCAACTCGTTAAAATGGAGTGGGAGACGCGTGCAAAGTATGGAAATGTTTATCTGTATGCAATGCTCGTATTTAATCTCTATACATTGCATTAATCATCCATACCCAGCAACCTTAGTCAGGTTAAGCGTGCGATTAACTGCGTGGAGGACGGTCCCCCAAGTCAGATTACTGCTAATTAATGTCGGCAGGGAAACAAAGAGCATCTCAATTTCGCCCCCGTTGTCTCTCTCTTCTCTTATTAACATGGTGGCCGATGATTGCACCTTTTTTAAATTTTCACGTTCACAAGCAAAACATGGGGATCGGCCCCCGGACGACCCTAAACAAAAGAGGCTGCGTACCAAAGATTAGGTGGCGGTCGTTTTCACACCCTTTTATCGTTAAGGTAGGTGGGTGACAACGAAGGGGGACTATCCGGCGGGCGGGATCATGCAAATCCATGCGCTGGTCAACCAACGCGACGGTCCAACACGTCTCTCTCGTCCCGGTCCTCCCAACCACCGAAAGACCGAAATTCGTCACACCGGCCACGGACAGGAGGCGTTGATTGGCCACGCGGGTGCGCACCCATGCTCCTTTGTGGGACTAATGACATCAGCGCTGACGGACGGTGCATCTGATGGTTGACATTAAGATTACATACGCTGTTGGCTTCACACCGGCGGTGGACCTAACTACGCGGCGAAAACCAGTGGGTTTCTAAGTGCTATTTCTAGTGCAATAACCACTATATGTGTGTATGCATATGTGCGTGTATGTATCTATTATTGCGTTGGGAATCTTTCGTTTTATTATTTCTTGTGCCGAAGGAGGTCAGTCCGGAGGAATATGGGACACCGTCGGAGAAAAAATTCACGCGTCTGGAAGATATTTACGCTAATTCATTCGTTTAATGTGTGACACGAAATTTGATAGGTAAAGTAAGTCCATTTACTCTCTCTCTTAAATTAAGAGATATGACAAATGCTAGTGCCTACACCTTTGATGAGTATTAGGAGTGAGCGGTTCTAAGGTGGGTAGATTCGGAACCTGAAAATTGGAACCTATCATGTCGGGACTGTTTCCCAATTTTTAGAATTTGGAACCTACTTTATAAACTCTGGAATCGACCACGTTGGTCCGGTCCAATTCCGAGGTTTACTTGAGAACCGCCCAATTCCTATATATTTTTTATTCCTTGAAAGGACGAACTTTAGTAAAACATTTTTTTATTCACAATCGAGGCAAATAGTAGTTACGGCAAAATAGTAAAGCAACAAAATGGCGAGAAGTGCGGTACAAAACAAATAGATTTATAAAGGAATTGGGGAGTGTCCAACTCACCCCTTAGTCAAGCGACATGAAAGTTAAAACAATAACAGAAATTTCCATCCATCAAAAGTAATAATTCATGAAAGATGAATTAATACGAAAATAAAATAAACAGTAAAAAATTCAAAACATGTAACATAAAACATGCAATAGTGAGTGATTGGCATAATGATGGATTTTCTGATCCTATTTGCTCAAAACATAGATCTCACCGTGGTGCAAGTGTTTCGAGTCTTATGGTCCACAAATGTGATAAAATGATTGGCTCTTGACCCGTGTTCGATTATCCTTCTTTTACTGTGATTAATGCTTGATAGTTGAAGTGAAGTCCCGCTACGGTGTTGATAAACAGCTTAACCAGAAATCCCACACAAAATATATGAATTAGGGTTTCTCAATCCAGTTCAGCCTGACTCCAAACTCAGAATCGGGAGCCGAATTAGAACTGGTTGGGTGGAGTCGTCCGTTCAATTCTAGGGTTTACCCCAGACCAATGTTCACCCCTAATGTTGACCTAATGCGATTCTCTCATGCGATCCATGCTATGGTTAACCAACACGACGGTCCAACACGTCTCTTGTCCGGTCATTCCAACCATAGAAGACCCAAAATCATCACACCGGTCACGGACAGGAGGCGTTGATTGTCCACGCAGGTATAATCCCATGATTCTTTATAGGACTAATGACGTCAGCACTGACGGCCGATGCATCTAATGATTGACATTAAGATTACATATGTTGGTTTCACACAGCCAGGCGTGGACCCAACTACGCGTCGAAAACCAGTGAGTTTCAAGTGCTATTTCTAGTGTAATAACCACTATTTGTGTGTGTACATATATATATTATTGCATTGGGAATCTTTCATTTTATTATTTCTTGTACCGCAGGAGGTCATTCCGGAAGAATATGGGACACCGTCGGAGAAAAAATTCAAACTTCTGGAAGATATTTACGCTAATTTATTCGTTCAACATGTGCCACGATATTTGATAAGTAAGTCTATTTGCTCTCTCTCTCTTATAAATTAAGAGAAATAACAACGCAAGTGCTTAAACTTTTAATGAACATTAGGAGTGAGCGATTTTTGGATGAATAAATTCGAAACTTGAAATCTAGAACCTATCCGGTTCCCAATTTTTGGAACCTGAAACTTATCATATAAACCCTAGAATCGACCATGTCAGTCCGATCCGATTGCTTTACTAGGGAACAAGCCAATTCCTATTTTTTTTATTCGCAATCGAGACAAATAGTAGCTACAGCAAAATAGTAGCGCAACAAAACGGCGAGAAGAACGGTACAAAACAAATAGAATTATAGAGGAATTGGGAAGTATCCAACTCATCCCTAAGTCAAGTAACGTAAAAGTTAAAGCAATAATAGAAATTCTCATCCGTCAAAAGTAACAATCCATAAAAGATGAACACGTAAAATAAAAGAAACAATAAAAAATTCAAAACACGTAACATAAAATATGAATTGTAGAATGCTTGTCATAATAATGGATTTTCTGATCCTATATGCTGAAAACATAGATCTCACTTGTGGTCGTGGTGCAAGTGTTTTGAGGGCCCGTTTGGTTCAACTTTGGGACTGGGCTTTCGACCTCGAAAGCCCCTTCCCAAAATGCTGAACCGTTTGGTTCAGCATTCGGCCTAGCATTGGTCAAATGCTAGCATTTGGAATGCCGAAAGCCCAAAATTGGTCCGGATCAGCTTTGGGCTTTTGGCATTCTACAAATGTTGAACCCAAATTTTTTATCCCCAAACTACCCTCACTTATTTGGCTTATTCCGATTTTTGCCTCTATTGGTACTGTTCATCTTCTTCGTGAGGTGGCCGGCGAGGGCGGCCGACACCGGATCGGCCCGGCGAGAGGCCGGCAAGGTCGCACGACCCAGGCGACGGTCGCTTGAGGTCGCGCGACCGCCCAGGCGATGCCGGCCTGGGTCGCTCGACCCTATCTGCCGCCTGGGTCGCATGGCCTCGGGCGACGGCCGCCGGCGCCAGATCTAGCTTGCCGGCGGCCGTAGGCCTTCGCCGGCCCCGGCGAAGGGTAAGATAGGTTTTTTTTTTTAATAAAAAAAAATTCCCAAAGCCCTTTTGCAAAAAAAATTCTACCAAACACGACTTGGGCCAAAATAGCTTTATAAATGATTTTTTACCAAACACCGCTTGCATTTTTCCAAGGGACTTTAACCTAAAGGTATTTGCATTCCCCCAAGTAGCATTTGAAAAGTTGAACCAAACCGGGCCTGAGTCTTTTGGTCCACAGATATGATAAAAGATTGGCTCTTGACTTGTGTTTTGTTTTTTTTTGGTCGGAGCACTTGACCTGTGTTCAGCTATCCTTCTTTTGCTGTGATTAATGCTTGATAGTTGAAATGAAGTCCCGCCATGGTGTTGATAAATAGCTTAACCTGAATTCCCACTCAAAATACAAGAATTAAGGTTTCTCGATTCGGTTCAGCCCGGCTCCGCACCCAAAGCCGAGAACCAGACCAAAACTGGCTAGGTAGATCCGGTCACGTTCGATTCTAGGGTCTACCTTAGACCAGTATTCACCCCTAATGAGTACCTAATTCACTCCAATAGAGAGAGAGAGTAAGCATCAAGACTGTTGATGGACATCGGCAAATGGAGACGGCGACGACGAAGATGGTGGCAACTGCCCAATGTGGACATTAGCAGTCGAGATGGTGATAGTGTGGCAATTGACGATAATGAGAAATGGCATGTTGGAGCCTGGAAGCGAAAGTGAACTGAGGAAGAAGATAAACAAGTTGGCGCAAAAAAAAAAAAAAAAGAGGAAAGAAAAATGAAATAGAAAAACATGAATGAAAAAGTAAAGTGACAAAAAGTGAAAGAAATTTTTTTATTCATTTTAGATGAAGATGGCATAAATCTTGTTGAGTAAGTGAGCTACGTTAGTAATTGTGCTTAACTTTTATTTATTAAATAAGTCACGTCAGCAAAAATACTTGACGTGGCAATTTATTTGTGATTAGGATAGCGTTCTACTTGGCTCAATAATTTATATTCTTAATCGAGAGTAAAATGGAAATATATGTGATAGAGCTACTAACTTAATATATGAAACACTTTTCGGTCTTGGAGTAATTTGTTTCGATGCACATCAAGAGACAACGTCCTTCTTGTGTACAATATCTCGAGCCAATCATCAATAATGGGCCAATATATGCTTTGTTATTCATGAAGGAACCTCTCTTTTTCCTTCCAAACCGTACACAGATTTTCAACGATCAAGGAGCATCATTACAAATAGGGACAAGCGACCGACTTGCTCCAAGCCCGATGATCCCTTCCCCAGATGTTAAAAACACATAACTAACGACAATCAAACTCTCTCTACCTACAACTTAGATTTCTTTATTCATTGCCCGACTAGTTTTCTCTGAAGTAGGATAGTGGATGCCAACTTTCCTCGATTATTCTATCCTTTATTGTTTATAGTTATTACATAAATCTGAAGTGCATAATAATAAGACTAAAACAACTACAAATAGCGACTGCGGGCAAGTATGCGTTTGGTAGTCTACCAAACCCCAGGTTTTAAAGGGTATAGCAGTTCCCCTTAAACCTCTCCAGGTGATCCTTGTGAAGTGGTATGAATGCATCTATGCTTCCATCGCCTTTAAAAGAAGGTGAAAGAAGCATGATCCCCTCTATTGGGAAGTAGGAGGGCATGAACATGTAAGGGCTCCCACATCCGAAATCTAGGTCGTAGAACGGAAATCGCAACCAACTATCCACCTCCAAATTGGCCGGGGACGGGTTTATATTCTCCGTGGGATAGAGATCTTCCGCCTTCAACTTGTGGCTTGCGAAATCGATGAATGACTTGAAGTAATGATCATCGACCTTCAAAACGGCCTCGTGGATGACCTTTGTCGCATATGATATTGGCTCGTTCAAGAGATCCTCGACCTTAGCCTTCGGAAAAGCCCAAAGGACCAAGTTGCCAAAATAATTGTTTGGAACTCTAGGGTTCAGCCTCATTCGACCATTTACGGAGATTCTCACCTGAGTTGTCTCGAATCCATTCAATGCACGAGCCCGAGTTATGCATCTCCATAGATGAGCAACCAAGCACTCAAATGTGCTAAACATTTTGTTGGGCTGCGTTAGGCCATTGGAAATACCGGTTGGAGATGATACAATAATCTGATCGGATTTAAAATCTAGGGGACTTCTCATATCCTCAGTACGGGACAAAGAAGCCCTAGATTTGAGCTTGGCAAGAAAATCCGTCGTAAAATGGACTTTGTGAATCACAACTTCTTCGGCGAGAATACTGTCATCAAAACCATCATCGATCTTGATTGGCTTTTTGCTTGTATACTCCACCCCTCTGTGCTGGAACTCGAACTTTGGTGGATCTCGAGGAACGAAAATGGTTCGGTCATGCGTCGGAAGTGGGCCCATCTCGAATCCTCGGCAAGCCTTTCCCCATGCAACCAAGAAGTTGCTGGTGGCATGACCGTCGGCTACAAGGTGGTGAGCGGTGAACCCGACCACGAGTGAGCCACAACTGAACCTGGTAAGTTGAACTTGGACCAACTCCTCTACATCCGTCAGGCTCGGATGAAGAGTCAATAAAACGGGCGATGGCGAAGAGGGCATCGATTCATCGATGGGATCATTGACAGATGCCTCGACGAACCGAACCCCATTGTCATTCAAAATAATGACCGTGTCGCCTTCCTCATTCTTACCCAACCTCCCTGCCCACTCTCTATACACCGATAAAACCTTTTGCAACCCTAGTTTTATGGCAAGGTTCGGTGGTGTCGGGGGACGATAGGCGTAGATAACTGCCATTTGGCCATCATAGTTTGCATTATCGAAAGGGGTAAGAGGAATGCACAGGGTGGTTGATGGAGGAGGACCATCATAACAAGGCTTGATGATCCTCGAGCTCTCTATCTTGACCTTCATGTTGCCAAAGCTGGTTTTCGTTTCAAAGGCTTCTTTGTTTGGCTTTGTACGTAGGAGAGAAACAGAGGGAGCTTTTATAGAACGGCTTTGAAATGCTGACCTCAATCTAATTTACAGAGATTTCGGGCACTATGCGTTTTTCCTATATTAAAAATTGCGTAAGGTGCCCTTCAAAGAAAGAAAAACTTAGCCCATCCAAGAGGACCCTTATTCTATCATGCGAAGCAGTTGTTCCTAGTGGTTACGAAAATCTCATCAGCAAACTTAAGGGTTGACTTTAGCATGAGTTCATATTATTCTGGTATTTCTTTGTTTTACATTTCAGCTGGCGAACGTGAGGACAGTACTCTTTGGGAAGAGAGAACATAACGAGGAGTTGGTTGATGCGTATATAGACATTGTATTGTGGATCCGTAGGAAGAACAGAAGATGATGTGCTGATCAATAAGCGGCAGTCTGGCAAGGTTTGGCGTCGGTTTACATGCATGCATGATCACTTGAACGACAATTGATAATGGTGAGCGTGAACTCAAGCTAGTTCTTGTGAATATTTACTTCCGTTCGATGGCCCAAATTATACTAATTTTCTCATCATATATACATTGAGAAAATTTTGATAATTCGTTATAATCAGTCTAGTTAATCAGGTTGACGATGCAAAGCTCCATGAACTTTTTTTTATAAGAAACCCTAGTTTCGCTCGTAGCTTTATTGTGGGTAAAGTGGCACGACACAAAAACGAGACACTTGACGATATCGTTCAATAAAGTTAATCAGACTAAAGATGTTGACTAGGATGTAAGCTAATCGAGGATTATTAGATCATATTAAATCCTCTGCGCATTACAAATCTTGGGAAGTAAATACCGGTAGGGAGTATAGTTCTTTTTAAATCTATTAGTTAAAGGATGAAGCCACCCAAAGTTTGCCAAACTCAATACTCCTACTTCGACACGTGTACATGTACTTGGGAACAATAGGAATATGAGTGGAACATGAAACGCTTTTTTATTAAGATTATGTCGACCTACCCATGAGATCCCAAAAAAAGAAGGTGTCCCCTCTATCTTAACAGGAAAAGAAGTTGTTAAAAGGATAATAATTGTGTAGACGGCGATAATTTTTGGTCTATGATTGAATGCCATCAAATTCATTTTTAGTAGCAAACTATGGGTTGCTATTAAAATACGAATAAGGACAGCACAAGCGTCATAACTTTTGTACAGCGCTCACTTAAGTGCTATAACTTTTTCTTCAATCACTGAAATGCCAGAATTTCTTTAAAACGGTTACTTAAGTGCCATCACTTTCAATTGATTACTTGAGTACGATAACTTTTTAAAAGTATTCGCCCAAGTGCAGAAAATCCGATGTGGCATGGCAATTATCATGAACGTTTTTAAAAAATTATAGTATTCAAATGATCGATTGAAAAGTTATATAACTCTCGAGTAATCAGAAAAATAGTTATAACACTTAAGTAAGCGTCGTACATAATTTATGACATGAAAACCCTTGGGTCCATCTGTGAAGCGAAAATCGACATTTGTGCTTCTCTACTCAAAATTAAAGCATCAAGATTCCCGAATCGCCTTCGAGAGAGAGAGGAAAGAATTAGTGGAACTCTTTATAATTGAATTGTAGCCGGAGATTGCGCTCCATGCATTTGAAATTCGACACACATTTTCCAATCAGAATTCTGATTGAAAATCTTATTCCTCTACAAATTTGTTTTTTAATTTTTTCGAATGGGCTAAGGGACAAAATCCTATCCCATCTATCAAACAAATGCCCTCCCCGCCACATCCTTGACCTCAAGCTGAACCCCATCTCATTTTCAGTCAATTCACAATCGAACACGAGATAACGTTAGTTTGACCATTACTATCACGATTAAACATATCATGGTTTTTTTTTTTTTCACGTCTACGCATTAGTTGAGACATGATCATCACATGTATACATCATCCAATCGCGACGAAATTAACAACAGTTACAGCACACTAGGAGGTTCACACGTACCATTAGTTTTCGCATCAACAAAATCATTGGATCGTTGTCATGGATAAGTCCAAAGTTAATAAAGTTTGTCAAATGTTCATGGTTGGCATCGTGGGGAATATACAAAAATCAAGGTTAGGTAAGCACCATTGAGAAAAGATCAAGAATTTTGGGGGCGCCGTGGAAGTCCTAACTAATAAATAACGCGATAAAGACATGGGAGGCGGCACCTGGACTGAGCCACCGGCCCTCTCGGCTCGTTTAAAGACTACACCTAACGCCCCTCAACTTGTCAATTTTAAGGTCATTTAAGGTTGTTTGTCCTCTAGAATTATGAAGACATTGGAAGTAGCAAACCCCACATTCTAATTGCGATTTGTCGAGGGAGCATTCGGGTGAGGATCTATGTGCAAAGGTCAATCAATTTGTCTATCTCAGTTAGACTTTCAATGCCTCCACTAGGCGAGGGTGTTTGTTGAGATTGAAGGATCAAGACCTCGACCTCTTGAGAATATCTTTGGAATAATTCTGAATTATCCTCATAACCACTTGTAAATAATTCAGAGACACCTTCTTTTTTTATTTTTAATTCTCCTTTTATGCATTCTGGCTTAAGATAATCGGGACATGGATTGATTTGAAGACTTAACGACATTTTATGCTGGAAAAATTCCATATAGGGGTCCGAAGTATTCTCATTTTCGCAAAAAAGTATCCAAAGTGGAATTTGTTTCAAATAATGGCCCGGAGTGACTTACTTAGTCTCGAATAAGGGTCTAGCTAGCCGACCGGCCAAATTGTCGCCGGTCAACGAGCACATGCTATCTAACAACACAAATAAGGACATTTTTGGCCAAAAGCATTTCTTTCCATTTCTTTTCATTTTATTGTTCATCTTCTTCCTTCTTCCTGAACTTTCCAAAATCTAAACAAGCGCTTGGCTCACCAGAGAAATATTTTCACTTTCAAACAAAAATAAGGGGCTAATTTCAAAAAAAAGCATCAACTTGTTTGGGCCAAATTTGGGATTTAAATAAAAGTTTTTTATTTTTTATGATACAACAAAAAGTTAGGGCCCGAATTGTCACTCAAGGTAAAGTTTGTACTTTTTTTTGGAATTAGGCTGTTGACACCTATTTTTTAATTGCCCAATTAAATTATACAAAATTTAGGGGTTAATGTCCTTAATTCCTAAATGAAAAAGTATACATATTTTTTATTTAATTGCATTGCATATAGACATTAGGCAGATTTGTATTAATAGGGTCTATTAGAGCATTTTTATTTTTTTTAAATTATTATTAAATTAAAAATATTTTTAAAATATTTTAAAAAAAAATCGGATCGGTCCGAGTCGGGTCCGGGTCGACCCGGCTCTTTCCTTTCTTCTCCGCGGGCCTGGCCCACTCCCTCCTTTTTTTTTCTCTTCCTTCTCGCCCGGCCCAGCTCCTTCCTTCTTCTCCCCCACTAGCCCGGCCTCTCTCCCTCTCTCCTCCTTCCTCTTTGACTTCCCCTGCAGCCGACCGCCGCTTGGGAAGTGCGAATAACCCGCTCCACCGCACAATATGGCCACAAAAGTCTTAAATAGGAGCAGAGGCCGGTGCAGAGTATTCAATGGACAACTTTCGGGACAAAGCAAGTGACCCGCGACCACTATATAAACCGGCAAAGAGGAGAGAGAAATGGTCGGCCAAAAACATAGCAAAGAGATTTTGAGAGATATTTTGAGAGATTTTGAGAGAAATTGAGAGCAAAAGTGAGAGCTGAGTGTTTGAAGGGATTGAAGAGGAAGCCAGCCGGCCTCGCCGTTACCCGCAGATTGACCGGCGACCCCCCAACATCAGCCATAACCGGTAAGTCCTTCTCAGCCCTTGTCGAACTCTGTTTTCCCCTGTTTTGGTTTATAGGTTGGCCGGGACTCGCGCCGATTGTTTCGCGCGAATCCTCACCCATACCGTCCTTGCTCACGGTCTAGAGGTTGACGTCAGAGGTGAGTTACGGTCGTCGGAACAGGTTTGAGTCTCGGAATAGGTCGAAGTTCCCATGTTTCGGACGTGCACTCCACGTGTTCGACGAAATGCCCACATGAAGTCAGTTTTATTTAAGTCCCCCGTTGGCGATATGCGAGCTGACCCGCAAATCTTCGTCCCCTTGGGTGGCCTTGTGACGGCCATTGGAGCCCAGACGAGGTCAAAGTATGACCTGTGTCGGCCGGCCAAGCTCCAACAGACATTTGGGGCTCAATGAGCCTTGGCCTAAGCTTGGCTGGCGACCACTCCGGTCACCCGCCAGCGATCTACCCCCTCCTAATCTTCTCTGCTTGAGGTGCTGAGGAAACTGAAGCCAAAGGCTGGGCGAAATAGCCGGCAAATCGCTGGATTTTTGCCCGGCCGATGGCCTCCCGCGTCTAAGAGGCCCGAAATTCGGCCTGGACCGGCCGAAAGACCTACCGGACCGGTCTGCATGCCAAATAGGGCCGGTTCGACCGGGTCTATTTTGGCATTTTCCACCAGGCCCGATCCGATTTAGAACCCGGGTCAACGACTTTGGGTCAGATTCGTTGACCCGGGTCGATCTGACCCGACCCGGTTGAATATTATGTTTATACTTATATTATTTTTAATTTAAAAATTTTAAAAAATTATTATTTTTAAATCGTAATTATCATTATTATTATTCTTCTTCTTCTTCTTTTTTAAAAATTAATTAGGAAATAGTTTAGAAATTAGTATTTTTGAATATTTTTCTAAATTATGTGAATTATTTGATTAATAATTACGTCTAAATCGGATAAGCCTATATAGGGCTATACAGTGGGATTTTGCATGTTATCATTACTACTGTTGTATTATTATTATTATGCATGTTGTTTCTAATTAGAATATAATTGCATAAATTATCATGTTTTGAATGTTGCCGCCTTAGTTAGGGTTAGAACCCTAAGCTGCATATCTAGTTTGACTGCTAATATTTGATGATTGTGGACTCGTTTGATCACCTCACATGTTAGGAGATAGGTCATAAAATCAATCCAAACTACCTGACAAATATTTTCTAAAATAAACAGGATAAAAGGTACCGAAAGGGCACTAG